ATGAGAGACAGAGAGAGAGAGGCAGAGGGAGAAGTAGGCTCCCAAGGAGCAGAGAGCCCGATGCGGGACTCGATCCCAGGACCCTGGGATCATGACCTGAGCTGAAGGCAGACGCTTAACCATCTGAGCCACCCAGGCGCCCCATTCTGTGTTTTCTTGTGTTGACTTGTGTTCTCTTCTGAACATGAATGAGTCTGGGGTGCAGAGTGTAGGCTGGATGCTGGTGTTGGCAGGACAAGCCATGTTTCATGGAGCCTCATGTTCTGAGTGGTCAGTTCATGATGTCTCTGACATGGTGACTTCGTTGCCCAGTCTTGGTGTTGAGCGCATGGCTAATGAAGACCTCTGTACATGGTATGCTTGTCAGTGTCCCACTGTTAGACTTTGAGCCCTCCGGGCCAGAAGCAGAGTCCTGCCAGGGCCCCGTGCAGGGCCTGGTGGTAGAGCCACCCATTAAGTTAAACCAGACTGAACCAAATGAGGAAGCAGTGGTTGCACACAGCTAGTGAGTGCCCCAGCAAGTTCTGAATCCAGCCCCGGCTGACTCCAGTGTTCTCTGCACTGTGTTCTCTGCAAGTGCACTGGGCTTTCAGTGCTGCAGTCAATTAGGGGTTAAGTATGGACAGTCTAAAACCCGGGGGCCAATACATCAAGTCTCCAGTCCCAGAATGGGTAAGCCTAGTTTATGCCAAAGAACCTGGGCAGGGAGCAGAGGTGGAGCAGGGCAGGAGGGTTCCCTGGCTAGCAGCTCAGAGGGAGCCAGTGGTGAAGGGGCCCCAGGGCTTTAGATTTTCCGTACTAAACACTTAGGCTTCTCAGTCTTGAGAAGCCTTCTGTATCCTGCCCTGTCCCGGCACACAGGGAGTGGGTGTTCAGCTCTGGCTCTCTCTCCTTAGGCAAGACACAGTGACGGACAGGAGCACAGAGAGGAGAGAGGATGGGAGGGTCTGCTGATCAAGGGATGGTGGACTGGGAAGGTTTGGAATGGAGACCTGACCTGGATTCTGTCCCCAAGTCTGTCCTTGATGCCTTCTGTGATCTTGGCTACACTACACCTTCATCACCATCATCACCACCATCACCTCCACCACCATCATCATCACCATCACTGCCATCACCTCCACCACCATCACCATCATCCCCACCATCCCATCATCACCATCACCCCCATCATCACCACCAGAGATCACCATCACCGCCATCATCACCATTATCAACCACCACCACCATCATCACCGCCATCACCATCATCATCATCACCACCACCATCACCATTATCAACCACCACCATCATCATCACCATCACCACCATCACCACCACCACCATCACCATTATCAACCACCACCACCACCATCACCATCATCACCACCATCATCATAACCATCATCATCACCAT